ATCTCTCTCTCTCTCTCTTTCTCTCTCTCTCTCTCTCTGTCGTCTCTCTCTCTCTCTCTCTCTCTCTTTTTCTGACTCTAACCCCTTGAATTAGAAAACATAGGAAACAGCATAATTGATTTGGGCTTGTAAGATTGTTCAACACAACCTCAGAGTTGGGCCATGTGCAAATAGAGAATGCTTGTGTGGACGAAAGGGGCCACGTGCTAACCTGACAGGCTCAGGGAAGTGCCTGCATGGCGGTCTTGCAGACTCAGAGACCTGAAGTCACCACAAAGGATGGTCTGAAATTAAACTTTAACTAAAGCAGTGATGGTGGGCAGTCACCTCCTAGGCCGGTATCTTCACTGACAAGGTCAACCTTTACCTTAACTGAGCCTCTGCCTTTTTGCATCTATAATAACATATACTTTGAAATGTTCGGGTAACTTGTAACTTCCCTTTTTTTGGACCCCTTGGGGCACAACCTAATGTGCTGGGTGCCAGGACAGATGTCACAAATTCCTTCATTATCATGTTAATTGTTCCTGCACCCACCTAAGTATGTGTCTATCATTTTACTTTTTATCCAATCCCAGGGGTTCCTCCCCACCCCCTTTGCTTTCTCCCACCTCTCTAGTCTATCACCAGTGAATTTCATGTAACCCACCTACATCCGTCCCTTCCTTTGATTGCAATGTATAAATACAGATGTAACCCTCTGATCTCCGGAGCATTATCTCAACTCGCTGAGGTTCTGCTTCCTGGCATATGTCGACAGTTTCGCTCAAATAAACTCACAAAATTTCTTTACAGGTTTCAATGGATTTTACGTTAACACTTTCTAAATGGTAAAATAGAATCAGAGGGGCATGGAGAGAAGCAAAATGACAGAGGTCATCAGGGATGAAAAAATCAGCTTTGGCCTTAGCAGCTTCCAGAACTTGTTCTCATGATGACCAGCATGATCCGATCCATGTGCTCCTGGTCTCCCTGCACCCTTGGGGAGTGGAGTTTCTTTTCCTTGCAGCCTCGGGGCATTAACCCAAGCACATCTTTCTACAGAGTTCCTTTCGATTCTTGTCATATTTACCTTTCTATGGGATTCTGCTCTTGCACTCAAATTTCCCTGGTTAAGATGTGAGCTCAGTCTTCCACCCCTTGAAGAAGCTGCCTTAGCTCACCTGTCAGGAAACGACCTGTAGACTGACCTACCTGTGTGCCCTCCATGGGCTTCAGCTGTCTCCTCTTGTAACAGCCTGTCACCCAGCACTGCAATCACCCACCCACAGGCCTGCATCTAATTACAGCACGAGTTCTAAAACCCCTTTGTAGCTAATGACTTTTAAACACATTATAATAGTGATACCATTGGCTACAGGAGAGCTATGATAATGATATCTAGATATATGTTCCATTTTGCGTGCATTGCTTCACCTGTGGCCACCCCAAGAAACCATACTAATAAGGATGCTGAGGTCTGGGTGTCAGGGGCCAATCTTTCCTCTTGTTCTTCTTTGCAGGGATAAAGGTGAAAAAATTCTTCTTTTAAAATGCAGTTTGTTCAGGTTTATGAGAAAGTGCTCACAGCCCATAAAATCAAAGTAATACCGTTTCCTGTGAAGGAAAGCCCTGATTTCAGTTCAAAGACTCAGGGTTGTGAGTGGTTGGGTTGTTAAGAAAATATTTTTATTCTTTTCCAAA